TACAATGATGTAAGCAATGCAGGTAAAAAGCTTTCTACAAAAAGTTGACTGTTGCATTGTTCCTGTATTGTAGCGTGTGCAGGCAACAACATTTCCAGCTGGAGAGTTGACTTCATACAGTCACCTCGGGAGCTGGTAGGGACATTTTCCCTAGTTATTTATTCTACTCTAAAGAGTTGAACCATAACCCAAGATGAAACCCAACCTGGAACCTTGTGATCTTAAGGTCTTGAGAATTTTTAACAGGTTCCTTATCTAGTTCTTGATAGTAAGTTTGTTAGATCATCAAAACATTAAATAAAGTACTTATGACAAAGATACTTGTAAGCTATCAATTTTTCCCTTTTTGATAATGACAAACTCATAATTGAAAATCCCATAAAGAGTCACATAGAACTAGACAACAAACTAGAAAGACCTTAAGTTTCCCACTGAATCTTCCATTCCCCACTTAATCAGTGCATATCACGGAACTTCAAAGAGTTTCCCCCTGAATCTGCATTTTCCCCCTTACTTAGTGCACATCATCTTTATGCAAATTTAATCAATTCAATTATGCAAGAATCAATCTTCCCCCTTTTGTCATCATAAAAAGCACAGAACAGGTAAGCAGCATAAAGAAGTCTAGCGTGATTAACTCATGCCACTTATGTGCACACAACATGATAAAAAATAGAGACAAGAGAGCAATAGCATAAACAGCAAAAGGGAAATACTTGCATTAACCAAATTTGGACCTTTACAGGCGGGAGCAAAATCATTGTTACCATCCATAATTCCAAAATAAAACAAAACAAGTACCAAAAAAAATCACCAAAACACATTTAGAAGATGGACACTGGAAACTGGACATTGAGGAGACACTCTTTAAGGGACACTGGAGGAAGAGGGAGTGGAAGAGGAGGCAAGGGTTTGGAGGACAAGATCCATGCGAGCATTCGTGGACATTTGCTCACTGAGCAGTCTTTCTTTTAGGTCCTCCACCTGTTTACTAAGCTCAACGTTCTGCTTTGTCAGGCAAGCAACCTCTGAGTTGTGAGAACTAGAACCAGGTGCCTCTTGTAGCTGACTGAGCTGACTCTCAAGAATAGCGTTCCTAACCTTCAGCTTTCGGATCTCCTCTGTGGCACTATTTTGAGCGTTGATCAGTTGAGTGATCGTAGAGGTGCTTCCAACTCCTCCAACCTTTTCAATACACTCACACTCCTCAAGAGTGGTCTTGGAGAAGGTTTGCTTCTTGGTGCCCACTTTGGCCTGTCCGAGAGGCACCTTGAAGAATTTGAAGTCCTTTGTGAGTAGAAACCCATACGGTAGTCCATGGTTGCCATCTTTAAAGTTTGCCACCTTTTGCATATGCTCAATCATCATTCTAGGCAAATTGATGGTGGTAAAATTATCCAAGGCTTCCATAAGGAGCAGGTCAGTTTTGGACATAATAGATCTCCTCTCAGCGCGGGGAAACAACACTTTATTGACCATCTCAAAGAGCACCTGATATACTGGAAGGAGTGCCTTCTTATGCACCTGTTCCCCCTACTGGATTGCCTTTTCCTTGACAATGGAATTTCTAAAATTTGACATGCAGGCACCCCAAACAGATAACATTCCTTTAGTAGGAACACCCAGAATTGACCTCAATATGGCTGAGTCCATCACTATGTCCACCCTATTTATCAACGCACAGATTTGATCGCCTTCAACTGTGAAGAGGTCGGCATAAAAACTTCGCACCTCCTCCTTATATACTCTTGGAACAGTATTTGCAAACAAATGAGTCCATTAGTGGAAATCACAAATTTCTACTAACTGTCTCATCCCAGCAAGCTCTATAATGTCAGGGGCAAATGTGCGGCCCTAGAGTACTTTCTGTTTACCCATGTCTAAACGTGTTGCTGTGGCAATGGGAGGGTCGATGAATTTTGATGATGTACTTCTACTAACTTATCAATGTTCCATAATACCCAATTGGTTCCTATATTAGCTCGATCTATAGGTCGAGGAACCAGGTACCATACTTGTGGCTCTTCCCTCTTAGACTCAGACCCTTCTCCACCTTCCTCTACAACAACCCCTTCTGAAGAAATAGTGAGCATATTTTCTATTCCCTCCTTTTCATGTGGTTTCATGGAAATTTCAATAGAAGGAGGAGTGATACCTGTGAAATCGCAACCTGTCATGGTTGTCTCAGCCTTTCCATGACTAATCACTGGATTTTCACTAGAGGGATCATCCATGGAGAGATTTGATGTTTCCTAATTTTTTCCTTGAACCAAGTTCCCTTGTTCACCATGTTTACCCTGTTCACTTTGTTTGACCGGTGAGACTTGAGGAGGACAGGCATTCTCAGACTTGCTCGGAGTCATCTTCTCGTGACTGTGATAAGGAATAAAGTCGGAGTGGGTAGGAGAGGGAATGAAGTATGGAGGAGACTCTGCTTTAGGGTTTGGACTGGTGGTTGTGTTGGGGGAGAAGTCTGCCGTTGGAGTTCTAATTGGTGTGGACTCACTTAGAGAACTATCGGGTACACTGGGGGTTACTTGATTTTCAAACATGGTGAAGTTGTACTCGAAGAGTTTGTCCATTGAGAAGATAGAAGACAAAGAGAAGGTTTCAAATTTTGGAAGTGAAGGGTTGTGATGTTTGATAGGCTTATTTATGATGAGGGATCAGTTCTGAAACGGTGGCAGATTTTGCTTCGGGAGTTGTATCGTTTAGAGCAGGTGAGACTCTTTGGATGAAAAGACACAACTTAAAAAGATTGACACGCTGATGATGTGGCATTGTATTTGTCCATTTAAAATTGTGTATTAGAGAACAAAGAAGCTACTAACTTGTGTCAAGAGAACCAGGTTCCTTGACAGGTCTTGCAAGTGAGTTTAAACCCTTTTACTAGGATGTACTACAACATCTGCTTTGTAGTCATCATGCATATCTACCTGTAACCGTATAGAAATGAGTTAGACTTGGCCAGATAACACCTTAGCTAATTTTACTTGTATATGGCTTTCATAACCAATCATTGGGAACCAGGTCCTCTGTTGGGTAGTCCTAGGCGATTTTTCTCAAAATGTTTTCTTCTCAAGGCTTTGGTGAAGATGTCAACAACTTGATTTTCAGCAATCAATGTACTTGGACCTCTTGAGTTGGACTATTTTTAGTCATGATTATGTGCACTTGTATTGTCGCACAAGAGTGGTACACAGTTAATATATACCCCAAGGTCTTCCATTACTGCTTGATCCATGACAATTGAGCACAGTAGAAGGCAACTTCTACATATTCTACTTCAGCGGTTGAGAGTGCCATTGAATTTTGCTTCCTTGTACCCCATGAGATAAGACAGGAACCCAGAGAGTGTGCCATTCCAGATGTGTTTTTCCTATCCACTAGATAACTTACACATTTAGCATCAGCATACCCAATGAGATAAAGTCATCGCTTGAGGGATAGTAGAGAACCATGTCCTATGTTCATTTAATACATCTCAAAATTCTTTTAGCAACTCTCAGATAAGACTCCTTTGGATTTGACTGAAAACTTACACAGAAACCCACTCTGAAAACAATGTCTGGTCTGCTTGTAGTGAGATACAAGAGTGATCCAGTGATGCCTTTATGCAGGGTTTGATTTACAGGAGAACTAGGTTTACCCATGTCTAAACGTTTTGCTGTGGCAATGGGAGGGTCGATGAATTTTGATGATGTACTTCTGCTGACTTATCAATGTTCCATAATACCCACTTGGTTCCTATATCAGCTCGATCTACAGGTCGAGGAACCAGGTACCATACCTGTGGCTTTTCCCCCTTAGACTCAGACCCTCCTCCACCTTCCTCTACAATAACCCTTTCTGAAGCAATAGTGAGCATATTTTCTATCTCCTATTTTTCATGTGGTTTCATGGAAATTTCAACAAAAGGAGGAGTGATACCTATGGAATCACAACCTGTCATGGTTGTCTCAACCTTTCCATGACTAATCACTGGATTTTCATTAGAGGGATCATCCACGAAGAGATTTGATGTTTCCTAATTTTTTCCTTGAACCAAGTTCCCTTGTTCACCATGTTTACCCTGTTCACTTTGTTTGACCGGTGAGACTTGAGGAGGACAGGCATTCTCAGACTTGCTCAGAGTCATCTTCTCGTGACTATGATAAGGAACAAAGTCGGAGTGGGTAGGAGAGGGAATGGAGTATGGAGGAGACTCTGCTTTAGGGTTTGGACTGGTGGTTATGTTGGGGAGAAGTCTACCGCTGGAGTTCCAACTGGTGTGGACTCATTGAGAGAACTATCGGGTACGTTGGGGTTACTTGATTTTCAAACATGGTGAAGTTGTACTCGAAGGGTTTGTCGATTGAGAAGAGAGAAGACAAAGAGAAGGTTTCAAATTTGGAAGTGAAGGGTTGTGATGTTTGATAGGCTTATTTATGATGAGGGACCAGTTCTGAAATGGTGGCAAATTTCGCTTGGGGAGTTGTATCGTTCAGAGCAGGTGAGACGCTTTGGATGAAAAGACACAACTTAAAGAGACTGACATGCTGATGATGTGGCATTGTATTTGTCCATTTTAAATTGTGTATTAGAGAACAAAGAAGCTACTAACTTGTGTCAAGAGAACCAGGTTCCTTGACAGGTCTTACAAGTGAGTTTAAACCCTTTTACCAGTATGTACTGCATTATCTACTCTATAGTCATCATGCATGTCTACCTGTAACGGTATAGAAATGAGTTAGACTTGTCCAGATAACACTTTAGCTAATTTTACTTATATATGACTTTTATAACCAATCATTGGGAACTAGGTCCTCTGTTGGGTAGTCCCAGGTAATTTTTCTCAAAATGTTTTCTTCTCAGGGCTTTCGTGAACATGTCAACAACTTGATTTTCAGCAATCAATGTACTTGGACCTCTTGAGTTGGACTATTTTTTGTCATGATTGTGTGCACTTGTATTATCGCACAAGAGTGGTACACAGTCAATGTATACCCCAAGGTTTTCCATTACTGCTTGATCCACGACAATTGAGCATAGTAGGAGGCAACTTCTACATATTCTGCTTCAGCCATTGAGAGTGCCATTGAATTTTGCTTCCTTGTACCCCATGAGATAAGACAGGAACCCAGAGAGTGTGCCATTCCAGGTGTGTTTTTCCTATCCACCAGATAACCTACATAATCAGCATCAGCATATCCAATAAGATAAAGCCATCACCTGAGGGATAGTAGAGAACCATGTCCTGTGTTCGTTTAAGACATCTCAAAATTATTTCAGCAACTCTCAGATAAGACTCTTTTGGATTTGATTGAAAACTTGCACAAAAACCCACTCTGAACACAATGTCTGGTCTGCTTGCAGTGAGATACAGGAGTGATCCAGTGATGCCTTTATGCATGGTTTGATTTACAGGAGAACCAGGTTTACCCATGTCTAAACGTGTTGCTGTGGAAATGGGAGTGTCGATGACTTTTGATGATGTACTTCTGCTGACTTATCAGTGTTCCAGAATACCCATTTGGTTCCTATATCAGCTCGATCTACAGGTCGAGGAACCAGGTACCATACCTTGAACTGCATCAATGGCTCTATTTTCAAGCTTAATATTGTTGTAATCGTGAGATTAAGTTCCTCGCTAATGGATGGAGAAGTAGTTGTAGTATCTTTACTGGATTCCTTGACATGAATCATCAAGTCTGCCTTTCTATTTTCCATGTCAACAACTTCACCTGGAATCAACAAGAGTTCTCCATCTTCATCATCATTCCTATTCCTTTTTTAGATGAGTAACCCAGGAAGATTCCTTCATCTCTTTTAGAATCAAACTCTTCAGGATGATCCTTGTCATTGTTGAAAACATATCATTTGCAGCCAATTGTCCTCAACTGAGTCAGCACTTGGTGAAGGCATTTGTAGTTACTTTATCAATTAACATTAATCATGCCATATCTTTAAGAGTCCTGTTCTTCCTTCCCACATTTTTATTTTGCTGCGATGTTCTTGGAGCTGAGAAGTTGAGTAATCCCACTTTCAATACAGAATTCATCCACTCTGGCATTATCAAAACTTGTTCCATGATCTGATCTAATGCAAGCCACATTTGTTCCCGTCTTCACTTAGATCTTCTTGATAGATCCCACAAATACATGAAAAGTCTCATTCTTGGTTCTGAGGAACAGAGTTCAGGTGAACCTGGAGTATTCATTCACTATCAAGATATATCTTCTTTGTCATATGCTTAGCACCCTCATTGGTCCACATAGATCCATATAAAAAAGATCAAGTGGCCTTAAGGTGCTGACTTCCCCTTTTGGGCTTGTAGAAAATCTGACATGCCTTCCTCTTGGACAAGCATCACACATTTTTGTTCTTTGAAGCTCGACTTGTGCAGACCACGAACCAGGTTCTTCTGATCTGGATTATTCAGTAGTGAAAAACTTGCATGCCCCCAGCCTTTTGTGCCATAGTTCAACATCGATATCAACGACTCTCGAACAACTTAGATCACCACTTTGCAGAGACTTACAATCAGCAACTCAAAAATTCTTGTATCTTTAGGCTACAAGCATCACCTCCCCAGTCAAAAAATTTGTGACTGTGCATATTTTGGACAAGAATTTCACTTTATTTCCTTTGTCACATATCTTCCAACTCTTAAAGTGTACCTTTTTAGCTATTTACAAAGGGTACACTCTCTCCTAGCAGGGCTTTCAGTGAAAGAAGATTGATCGTATTTCTAGTCATGTGCCTTGAGCAGCCGCTATCTATATATCATTGTTGGTTGCTCCCCTTCAGTGCTCCCTTCACAAGGAAATCAAGGGTTAGATTTAGGAACCCAAACGAGTTTGGGTCCCTTGTAATGAGAGAAGGGATGAATGAGTGCTCTTTTAGTCCAAGTAAGTAGTATGTGTTTCCAATTTGACGAACTAGGTCCTCTAGCATTAGTTACTCTATCGGTAAAGACTTTATTTTTCTGATGAGATTGAACCTTGGCCATGCAATTTTCCTTGAGGTGTCCATTATTACCACAGTAGGTACATAGCCAATTTCCGGTTAGAGTAACATACTTTCTATGAAGGTTGTAGGGAATATTTTCCCTTTGAAACCCAATCCCCTGCGTGTTTCCCCCGCTGTTGGTGTACATGGCAGTGATAGCATTAGAGGACCAGGTCCATTTAAGCAATTTTTCAAGGTCACTCTTCACTTTACCGAGTTCTTCCTGGAGCTGTTTGTTTTTCTCAAACTCAGCACACAGACTGGTCTTCACCAAATTTAACTCATTTTCAAGCTTAATGTGTGCCTCACTTGGAACTTCCTTTCCCTTTTCAAAGTTTCCAGGCCTACTTTCCATTTTAAGTTCCTCAATTGTCTCTTTTAAGTCTACTACCACCACTACTTGGTCATCTCTCTCTTGCTCAATGATAGCAACTCTCTCAGTTAAAGTTTCTTTTTCTTTACTTACACACTCAATGGTTTCTTTTAAGTCCACCACAACAACCGTTAGATCAAGTCTTTCATGTTCTATACTGGTAATTTCTCATCTAAGGCATCCTTTTAATTTTTCAGGTTCTTTGTTATTTCTTTTAAATCAACTACAATGACTACTACGTCATCTCTGGTTTGTTCACCTTCCCCTAATTCCATAGCTAATGCATCTTTATCATTTATGAGATTATGGTACACATCAATTAATACATTTGCTAATGACATGAGCTTTTTAGGAGAGTAAGATTTCAGATTTCTCTAAACATCCAGAAAATTTACCTCATCACTGTTGTCATCTTCATCGTCATTAGATTGAGCCATTAAAGCAAAGATTGAATCATACTCAGTTGTTTCATTTTCCACTGCCATCATTGAACTACCACCATGATCGTTTCTTCTTCAGATTCGCTGGAGGAGTCTCCCCATACAGTAAGAGCTTGATTTACAACATTGTCAACATCATTCTTTCTCTTGAAGCATTTATCAGGAATCAGGTTCCTCTTGGCTGCTTTGTCAAAGTTGTTATTGTACTGATCTTGCTTTAGGAGAGGGAAATCATTGATGAAGTGTCCTGGCTTGCCACATTTATGACATAGGTCATAATTTCTTGGTTTGCTTGAACTTCCTCTTTTCGAAATGCCTCAATTCCTGCGAACCATCTTCTAGAATCTGCTTGTCAAGTAAGCCATATCACTATCCTTTCCACTTGAATCATTGTTGTCTGTCTTTAGTGTTACACCCCATATTTTTGTATGTGAAAGTATGTCGTAAGTCAATTGATGTAAGCTCGGAAATGAGATCTTCTTTGAAAGTATATAAAGTGATTTAATGTTGTTACACCCCGTACTTCACACATCACTGCCATTATAGGATTATCTAATGTAAACTCAAAAAGGACAAAATTCTTCTACAAGGATAAGAAAGGTTTACTGAAGTCTGTCGACGCCCCCTTTTTCCCTCCTTAAAAGAAGGCGAAATCGGGTTTACGACATTATGGGCAAAACAACTCTTATTCCCTTTTGAGGAATCGGGTTATGGAATTTGAAGAGTCGACACCAAATGATTATAGTGCATTAGGACACTTTTAGAGAAAAGAAGAAGATTTTTTGGAAGAAAACCAGAGTTCGGGTAAGGGCTTGAGATTATCTCGAGGGGAAGGTGTTAGGCATCCCTCAAGATCCACTAGTGTGGTTCCCGGCCGTACTTAGCTGTGACTTTAAGAAGAGTAGAAGTAACAGACAATGTTTGCACATAAGAAATATAAACAAGTTGACAATTTTGAAAGAAGAAAGACACAAGTGATTTTTTTTTTGGAAAAAAGAAAGCTTAGTTTGAGGAAAACATTAATTTAAATGAAGGAAAAGCAAAGAAAATGGTCCTAGGTTTAACTATAATATGGATCACTTCGGTGCAATACCCAGCAATCATTCTCACATGAGATATTAGCGCACCGGTCATCATCTCCATATTCTACCCTTCCCACCCCGTAGAGGTTATTTTAAGCGTGTGTATTGGTCACGAGTGCTTAGTGCGTGCTATTACCCGTCCCGTCCTATAGGTCCTAGAGGGTATTTAGGATCGCTATTCCTATGAGGTGAGGGCTAGGTTGAACCCTTAGGTTTAAAGGTCAAAACACTAGGCGACATGCAAAAACAAATAGGACTTCATGTAAGGAATCATATAAAGGCATGTAAAAGGCTCAAATATCCCTCCATAGAAGGACACATGATTAGCACGTCTCAATCACATTTAAGGTCTAAGGAAATGAGAGTTAAAAGCTGGAATGTGCGAAAATATGTTAAGATAGGAGTTGAAGAGTTTAAACAGAATTTGCAAAAGGAGTTGGACGCACACTTTCTGAACTTGAGAAAAGGCAGGAGATACGTAACAGTTTAGAAATCAGAGAAAGCATTTTAAACATACTCAAAAATATATGATAGGGCATAGCAGGTATAGTATTCTGTTATGAAAATAATTTCGGACAGAAGAGGTAGGAAAACGTTTAGCACAGATGTAAAACCATTCAGAAGTGTAAAGCTGAGAGCATATAAGTATATTAGTTTTTGAACTATAGTTTTGGAAAATTACAGAAGACATAGTGTCCTGATGAGTTTTAGGAAAAAAAAAGTAACACAATTCTGGAAAAGGTAACTAAATAGAAAGTATTTGCACAGATATGATTATTTAGAAAATAGGACAGGAGTTTAGTAAGAACCAAGCGGATCTCAGAGAAGGGAAACAAATTCGGACAGTCTAAAGATGTTGAATGGTTTAAACATGATAAGACGGTTAATCGATTTTATCCGGCCTAAGGCTTGCCTAGGCGCTGTTTAATCATAAAAGAAAGTGGACGTGCATACTTATTTTCCAGTTTTAAAAGAAGCCTGTTAACCAGACTTATGTCTGTTAAACAAAATTAGTGAAGTATTCAACAGTTGCAAATACAGCCCTATATACATGATATCTAATGCACACAAAGGTCCTAAAGCATGGCATCTAAATGCAATGGCAGCATTGTTTATTATTAACTGATTGTGGTTATAAAATAAATAACAAGCTGATAGTAAGAGAGCTTAAAGACAGGACCTCTAGTTGTATGAGATGTATGCCCCTAGAAATGGTTTCTATTGCACAAGTAGGTAAGTAAAATCCTATAGACATGTTCTCTACCCATTACTTAAAGCTAAGCATGCATAATCCCACCCAATTGCACTATAAACCCCATTGTTCATTACAAGTTATTACAGACCAATGTGATTAAATTACAGTAGTGAAGAGTAAAAATAAGAAGTTAATCTATAGGGAGCCTTTAGCCAGGCCCAAATAATCCTCACTTCTTTC